TTGTCTGAGACCTGAAGCTACAGAAGCTGCTAGTCTTCAGAGGACAATAAACAATGAGGACCAAAGAACCTGACCTTTAAAGTAGGTGTACTTTAGCCTGTTTGTGACATTAAAGGCAATCCAGATGACTGTGTTAGAGACAGACCCCTTACTGTCAGAGGGTAGCTGTGTTGGTCTACAGTGGAGGAGCTGGATTGGAGTCCAGTAGGACTTTAGACACAAGCTTCAAATGGAGATTATAACGTGATATTGCTGAACTTTTCATTCACAAGTTCAGAACAATGGACCCCAAGGTTGAATACGGACACAGGATTCAGACACTAATTTTCTGCCCTAAACATATTCCCTCTGTTCTAATCAAGTTCATTACGATGCACACTGTACCTCTGCATCCTGAGTTCCTTCTTTGCAACACCCCTCCCACCTTCTGACTGGGATATCAGAACTCTGAAATCTCCACTACAACTCATATTTGACAAAGAGAGCTTTGATTCTCAAAAGCTTAAACCCCGGAGGTCTTAAACCCTGCTCTTCACTGCCTGAAGGAATCTGAGAGTGGCTTACAATCTCCTTCCCTTCCTCTCCCCACAGTAGACATCCTGTGAGGTAGGTGGGGTTGAGAGAGCTCTCTTGAGAACTGCGCTTGAGAAAACAGCTCTGACAGAACATATGACTGACCCAAGGTCACACCAGCAGCTGCATGTGGAGAAGTGGGGAATCAAACCCGGTTCTCCCAGATTAGAGTCCGTGCTCCTAACCACCACACCAAACTGCCTCTGCTACTGGACTCAAATCTACCCCTTACTTTTTTAACGGTAAAGGTTTCCCTTGCTTGAAAGCCAGTTGAATCCGACTCTAGGGGACGGTGCTCGTCTCCGTTTCCAAGCCGAAGAGCCAGTGCTGTCTGAAGACGTTTCCGTGGTAATGTAGCCGGCATGGCTAGACGCTGAGGCGCATGGAACACTGTTACCTTCCCACCAAAGTGGTACCTATTCATCGACTTGCCATTTCTTGCTTTCGAACTGCAAGGTTGGCAGGAGCTGCGGCCAGAGATGGGAGCTCACTCCGTCACGCAGCAGTCGGGTCTCGAACTGCTGAACTACCGACCTTCCGGTCTGCAGTTCAGTGTCTTAACCACTGAGCCACTGCAGCCTTTTTTAACCTCCCCCCAAAACCTGCTCTGACTAGATTCCTAAAAAAAGAGTAGAAGCTACACAAGGAAGACCTGCCCCCACGTCAGGGCTCTGTTTGTACTTTTAGGTGGAAAGGGGGGGGAAAAGCCCACCACAAAGAGCCGAGAAAGAAGACAAGAGAGCCCTGCTGTCTGGGTGCCGCTAGGCAGTCACCTTCCCCCTTGTGTATTGTGGCCCTAGGTCAGATATGCCGATGATACCACTCTAATGGCAGAAAGTGAAGAGGACCTTAAGAGCCTATTGCTCAGGGTAAAAGAGGAGAGCGCAAAAGTGGGCTTGAAGCTCAACATCAAAAAAACTAAGATCATGGCATCCGGCCCCATCACTCCTTGGCAAATAGAAGGAACGGTATAGAAGCCGAATGAAATAAATAAAAATACTTACATATGGACCCGACTGCATCTGTCTTTCCTCTTGGAAGCCTTTGAGGCAGCACGGCTGAGGAAATGACTACGTGGTTTGGCCCCCATTGTCAAGAAAACTGTTGTCTGCTATGACTGTGAGTCAACGCAATAAAAGTCCTTGCCAAGAGAACAGTTCCTGACGGCTCCTGAGAAACTAGAACTTTCACCCACGAACTCTGCGACTTCATCTCTGCTGAGGTACGGAGGAAGAGGGGAAGTGTTAAAGGAATACCCAAATTACTTATACCTCCTATATTAAACTAATTCCCCTAGCTTCTGGGGCAGGGGATTGGTAACCTTCCCCTAAAACTCCAAAGAACTTATTAAAAGTTCTGGATTGCATCCACAGGATAGGGATGGATGGGGATGCCTTTGCCCATGAAGGTGCTACTGCGAGTAGCAATAATGCAAGAAGAGGTCCTGCTCCGGTGTTCTAGAAGGCCCTCTGAAGTTTAGCAAAACATCAAAACGAAGATATTGCTTTTGCCCTCAAAAGCAATATCCTAAGTGGTAGGCTCAACAGATCAACAACCTCAGATATGCAGATGATACCACTCTAATGGCAGAAAGTGAAGAGGACCTGAAGAGTCTCTTGCTCAGGGTAAAAGAGGAGAGCGCAAAAGTGGGCTTGAAGCTCAACATCAAAAAAACTAAGATCATGGCATCCAGCCCCATCACTCTTTGGCAAATAGAAGGGGAAGTCGTGGAAGTAGTGACAGACTTCACGTTCCTGGGATCCCAGATCACCGCAGACTCTGACAACAGCCATGAAATTAAAAGATGCCTACAAAGCAATGGTATTCCCAGTAGTCATGTATGGCTGCGAGAGTTGGACTATAAGGAAGGCCAAGCACCGAAGAATAGATTCTTTTGAACTATGGTACTGGAGAAGACTCTTGAGAGTCCCTTGGACTGCAAGAAGATCAAATCAGTCAATCCTAAAAGAAATCAACCCTGACTGTTCCCTGGAAGGCCAGATAATGAAACTGAAGCTCTAATACTTTGGCCACCCAATGAGAAGGGAGCACTCACTGGAGAAGACCCTGATGCTGGGAAAGATTGAAGGTCAAAGAAGACGGGGACGGCAAAGGTTAGACAGTGTCATAGATGCAACGAACATGAAATTGAGCAAACTTCAGAGGACGGCGGAAGACAGGAGGGCCTGGCGTGATCTGGTCCATGGGGTCGCGAAGAGTCGGACTCGACTGTGCGACTGAAGAACAACAAAAAAGTGGTAGGCGGGTAATTTATATCTACTCGGGTAATTTATATCCACCCGACCATCCTGAGTAGATATAAATTACCTGCCTACCATTTTTCTTCTCACCTAGACACAGAGAGGACTCCATCTTTCTGTGTTATACCTCTGAGGATGCCAGTCACAGCTGCTGGCAAAACGTCAGGTCCTACAATGCCAGTCTCTTCGACAAATAATTAATGGACATAAGTCCGTCATTAGGAACTAAAACATTCAAAAACCAGTGGAGGAACATTTTAACCATCCAGGACATTCAGTTGCTGACCTAAAAGTAGCAGTTCTCTAACAAAGGAATTTCAAAGGGAGATCAGAAAGAGGGACTGTTCAATTCCAATTGATAATGAAGCCCAGGACAACGCATCCACCTGGACTGAATTGAGACCTAGGTTTCCTGTCTCATTACCAATGCTGATTTCTCCACGTCTATTACCCCTCTGCATATCTCACCTAAATCCTATCATGCCTGCCATTGTCATTCACCTGCTATTGTCATTTGCCTGCTAATGTCATTTGGCATCTGAAATCACTCCACTTTCCAATAAATAGGACAGATGGACTCCCATTCTAGCTGTATCTGAAGAAGTGAGCCAGGACTCATGAAAGCTGCCACATATTTTGTTAGTCTTTCAGGTGCTCCTGGACTCTCGCTCTTTTCGACTGCTACAGACAGACTAACACGGCTACCCATCTTGTTCATTTAAATGGAAGTGTGATTTTTTATAAAACTATCAGGCACTCCGGTACTTTACAAACTAGCATTTTTATTTTTATTTTAAATAATGAAATCAGGAGAGAGGAGGGGGTTGGCAAGGACTCGGAATTCAAATATAAAATCAAAGCTTTAAAAAAGGAGATGCGAAAAGCACTGATTTAAAATACTTTGTCAACATCTTTGATTACTTCAGTGTTGCCTGGCACCAGCAGGAAAGCTGCAGGATCATTTAAAAGAAACAAAAAAACCACCTTGTTTGTATTTTGTTTCCACCACTGCTGACTATAGGCAATACTCCCTCTAAGCTGTGGAGTCCTGTGAGCAAAAATCCTACTTTGTGAGCTCCTGGCATTGAAGTTGTGAGCGAGCGATTGGGCTGCTGCATAAATTAGTTTGCTCTGGAGCCCATCCCTTCCTGAGCTAAGACAAAAATGTGTGAGCCAGAGGCTAAAAAACTGTGAGCTCGCTCACACCAACTCAGCTTAGAGGGAACACTGACTATAGGTTATTTTATTGCTTGTTTTATTCTGTTTTTACCTGTGGGATTTTGGCATATGTGCTCACCTGTTAGCCGCCCTGAGCCCATCTGGGGAGGGCGGGGTATAAATTTAACAATAAATAAATAAAAATAAATAAATAGTGGTTTTGTAGTACAAAGCTTTCTCAGCAGAGCACCACAAATTATTTTTGGGATCAATAATACGTAAATTTGTGATCCAAGTGAAGATGGTCTCATACAGTGCTATTAGCACCGCTGGGCGCAGCTGAAAGTTCAGCTTAAATCTATTTTTATCCCATTTTAATCTCTTAGGAAATCAAGCAAGCAGTGTTTCCAGTCCCTAGAGTGTTCAAGGGCTCTGTTTCCCTCCTCACAAGTATTTATTCCTCTGAGCCAGGTGAGGCCAAATCCTTGGCTGACTGAATTCAGAACAGTTCCTTCGCAGTCTTCTCACAAGAGAGTAATTTCCTACAGTTTTTGCTCACTTCACGTCTACACTTAAGAGTTTTCATTTCAGCTTTTAACTGCAATTAAGTCATTTTAAAGCCTGCAATATTACTGAGTGAGAGTTGGGAGCAATCCTAAACAGTTCTACTCAGAAGTAAGGGCTATTTTATTCAGTGAGGTTTAATTCCAGGAAAGTGCTTCCAGATCAGCAACCCAAACGTTTTTTTTTTTGGGGGGGGGGCGTTCTTTTTGGCACCGTCTTGAAGGAAGCTCTCCCACAGAGACTTCCTCTTGCTTTTAGAACGAGGTGTGATAAACGTTTCAGTTTTTCCACTATTTTGGGTCCAATGTCAATATATAAGCTCTGTGTTTCTTTAATAGGTAGTTTTAGGCTCCATTCAAGATATGGGACACAAGAAAATGCCGATACCTTTTTTTTCTTCCTTTCAACATCTCAGATTTATTAGAGCCACAGTAGTCACTGGTACACACGCACTGGTACACAATATGTGTATACATCGTTGATCTTAACCATGGTAAAATACTAGAAGCACAGGGAAATGGAAATTTCAGCAAATGACAATGTGACTAAAAATAAGATCCAGAGTGATTTACTATGAAAATGCTGGGACCATGATCTCCACGTCCTTGCGGGCAGCGGCCAACCCCACGCATGCGGAAGGAAAGGTCTTCTGCCACACAAATCGCTGGCACTGTTAGATCTTGGGGACACACACACACACACACAAAGGGGCAGGGCTTGATTTATTTCCCCTCTCATTTGCCCTTTAGTGCTGTCGGAGCTGACTTCATATACAGCACATGCTTAAGTCTCTAAAAGGAACGACAGGTACAAGTTAGTCGCCATTCAGCTTGCCCCAGTGCTTTCAACGGGACTTTGGCATAATTCGCTTCCTCTGGTTTGGGAGTTACGCCTGACCAGGCAAGGATCTCTGCATACGTAACTCTGGGTGCTGGGATTTTTATCTCGCACAGGGATTTTGACTGCATGCAAACTGTCCTCGCTGGATTCAGGGACCGAATTCCAATTTTTTTGTTTGTTTTTCACCTGATCTCTCTCCTCCCAAACAACGACCCAAAAAGGTCCACAACCTTAACGCATGGTACAACGGAAGTCTTTTAAAAAATACAATATGCGGTATAATTTGCTTGAACTTGCTTGAGATACGGATGGAGAAATGGATCTGCGGCCTTTCAGGAGTGCCGCAAGCGACGGCTGAAGCGTGATGTGCCGCTCAGTATTTCGACTGAAACGTTTCCTTGTCCAGCATGAATTCTGAAAACCTCTGCTGGAGCTCCTTCTCCCTTTCCTGTTGCCGCTGAACGTCTTCCTTCAGGCACTAGAGGAAGGAAACAGCTCATGAATACATGCACTGCGGTGTCTTACGTGGCCGTACGCAAAGGAGCTCTCAGATCAGGTTCACACCGAGAATTTCTGGGAAGATACACATACTCGCGCGCACACCTGCCACACGCTCTGATGTGATTTCACAGCATTGGGAACCGCGTGAGAGAAAATCCATTTGCAAGAGGGCAAGAAAGGTTTAAAAATTCAGGAAGGAATCGAGAAAAAAAGTGAAGTTTTTTTAAAAAATGGCACCATAATGGGCACTACGAAAGGAATCTAAATAAAACGGACAGCGTCAATGTTGGGTTGGTGGTTTTTTTGGGTATTTTTGCATTGGTGTGTGTGGTGTGCATTGGGGTGTGTGTTCCCGTGCCTAGAAGTCATGGTGACTCCTACGGGGGCACAGAGGACATTCAGAGAAGTGGCTTCATAGCCTGCCTCTGGTCTCCCGGCCCCGGTATTCTCAGGAGGTCTCCCATCCACATACTTGCCAAATATGAAGGCCCCGCTTGACGACTGTGAGGCAAGCGGGTAAAGGGGACCTGTATGACTTCTGTCATCCCCTTACCTTTTACCTCAGGAGCCCAAATCTTTTCTGCCAGATATAAAAGAATGGCACTGATAGCGTGGTTTAAAATAAAATAAGAAGTAAGATTTATTCTTTATAAAAAAGGCAGGGAAATGGGAAGATGGTTTTCAAAGGTTTGGTATGGTCTAAACAGTGGGCCACCAGCCAGTTCCCCAATGTGAACACTAATAACACTGTTGCAGGCTTCTTAAAAGTCAGGCAGGGATAAGAAGATATTTCTTTACAATGGGCAGGCAGTTGTGAGGTTACAGATCATATACAGTGTCGGGTATGATTCAAGGCTCCTCAGTTGTGCTGGAGACCTGTCTGTCCCTAAGACTTTCCCCTGGACACTAGAACTCCCGTCCTTCCCTGTGTGTGTGTGTGTGTGTGTGGTGTGTTCCCGTGCCTAGAAGTCATGGTGACTCCTACGGGGGCACAGAGGACATTCAGAGAAGTGGCTTCATAGCCTGCCTCTGGTCTCCCGGCCCCGGTATTCTCAGGAGGTCTCCCATCCACATACTTGCCAAATATGAAGGCCCCGCTTGACGACTGTGAGGCAAGCGGGTAAAGGGGACCTGTATGACTTCTGTCATCCCCTTACCTTTTACCTCAGGAGCCCACATCTTTTCTGCCAGATCCTTTTCTGCCAGATATAAAAGAATGGCACTGATAGCGTGGTTTAAAATAAAATAAGAAGTAAGATTTATTCTTTATAAAAAAGGCAGGGAAATGGGAAGATGGTTTTCAAAGGTTTGGTATGGTCTAAACAGTGGGCCACCAGCCAGTTCCCCAATGTGAACACTAATAACACTGTTGCAGGCTTCTTAAAAGTCAGGCAGGGATAAGAAGATATTTCTTTACAATGGGCAGGCAGTTGTGAGGTTACAGATCATATACAATGTCGTGTATGATTCAAGGCTCCCAAGTTGTGCTGGGGAGGCATTCCGTTGTCATGGAAGCGGCTCACCAATCAGAGAGAGCCTCTCCCACCGCCTACACTCAGACTGGTTTTACTTAGTCCATCACGACGACATTGGGATGGCCCGGGCTACCAGGGTCAGCTGCATCAAAGTCATTGGTGTTGCCTTCAAATCGCAGCTGACTTATGGTGACCCCCTCAACGGGTTTCCAAGGCCAGGGACATTCAGAGGCGGATTTGCCATTGCCTGCCACTGTGTCATGACCCTGGTATTCCTTGGAGGCCTCCCATCCAAATATTAGCCGGGGCCTGCTGAGGTTCCCAGATCTGATGAGATCAGGCTAGCATGGGTTATTCAGGTCAGGAGCATCAAAGCAATGAACTATGATTTCTTTAAAATGAGGATTTTTTTTTTACTTTTGCATACATACAAGGGGAAATTATGGGACGTCAACATCCTGTAATGCTCAATATACCCTCCGCCCCTCCCCGCTTCTAGATGCCCCGCAGTTTTTACCTCCAGTCTCCTTGGGATGGCAGAGTCTTCGTGTTTCTTTAGCTCCTCAAACGTGCGCAGCTCCAGGTGAGCTTGCTCGATTTGGTCCCACAAGTCATTCAGCTGCTTGATGAGTCCCATGGCACGAGACTGGTAGCCGCCAAGCAAAATCTTCATCTTCTTCTCCATTTTGGCGGCCCTCTTTGCTTCTGTCGTCATGTGACCTCTGTTTATCTGGGGACAGAAACACAAGCCGGGCATTACCCCATGCCAGGGAGATGGTGCTAACCTACCGCTTGGCAGAAACCCAAGTCAAGCCCATAGCACGTTACAACAGAGCCCCTCTTCTCCTCCAAGGCAGCAAGTATAAAGCGAGAGATTCTACGGGAAGGTCTGTCCCCCTCCTCCTAAGCTCATTAATACTAAATTGCTCTAGCCCCTGACTACTCACTAGGACAAAGTAGTTTTGGGAGCCTGAAACAGAAGAGAGGCAATGCGACTGAAAAGGGGCCTAGAAGGGCCCAAGAGAGACCTGAGAGAAGACACTGAATAGTAGCAGTAGAAGAAGTAGTAGAAGACGAAGAAGAAGAAGAGGAGGAGGATTGGATTTATACCCTGCCCTTCACTACCCAAAGGAGTCTCAGAGCAGCTTACAAACTCCTTTCCCTTCCCCTCCCCACAACAGACACCCTGTGAGGTAGGTGGGGCTGAGAGAGCTCTGACAGAAACTGCTCTTTTTAACAGGTCTTATCAGAACTACGGCTTTGCCCAAGGTCATCCAGCCAGGTGCAAAAGGAGGAGTGGGGAATCAAACCCGGCTCTCCCAGATTAGAGTCTGCGCACTTAACCACTACACCAAACCGGCTCTCTGTAGAGGAAGTAGTAGAAGTAGAAGAAGAAGGAGGGGGAGGAGATTGGATTTATACCCCGCCCTTCACTACCTACAATCTAACGTCCATTTCAGCACTTTGATGTTGTCTGTATCTCAAAGCTTTTTTAAAAAAGGAAGTCTGATATTGCAAGTCTTAGCACAGTGCTTGTTCTAGACCAGGGGTGGCCAAACTGGCTCAGCATAAGAGCCACATGGAGAGTAAACATCAGATGCTTGAGAGCCGCATGACATGACCAAATATTACACACACGTTTTTATTTAGAAATATGCAAATTTGCTTTTTATTAACATTAAATGAGACTGCCAAAAATAAAAACAGAAGGGGTAAAAACAGATATTGATGATGATATTTATTTGTCTAATATTTGTTTGCTAATGATATGTATTTGTTTAAGAGAAAAAGAGAGAGAGGTGGAAAGAATGAAAGAGGTGGAAAGAAAGAGAGAAAGAGAGGGAGCGAGAGAGAGAGAGAGAGCCAGGGAACCAAGAAAGCAAACAGATGGGAGGGAGGGGGAAGGAAGGAAGTTAGAAAGGGTGGGAGAAAAAGTATGCCTCCCCTTCGCTTCCCCAGACACCCTGCCAGGAGCCACACAATATGTGTGAAAGAGCTGCAGTTTGGCCACCCGTGTTCTAGATTGATAAATGAGCAAGTACTGGTTTTAAAGGAGCCCAAGCAGAGGCATTATTTTGTGAACTCCTGCCCTAGAGGTGTTAGATGGAAACCAGCATCCTTGGTCAATGTTTAAAGATGGAATACTAGAAAAAAAAAAACAGAACGAAACCCAAACATAAAAATAGCTAGAAAGTCTCTACTGGAAGCTTGTGGAATAGTAATGGGCCACGTCAGATAGTGCAGAAAGGCCACGCGAGCACGTGTGCTAAAGAAGTGCAGCCGTTTCTTTGTGCGTCCCCAAGTAACTGGCTAATGGGAAGGTGCTGGAAATCACTTTAAATGACTGAACGGAAGGGTCCCTACAGCAGTACTGAAACATTCCATATGTAAATCACTCTTATTTAAACCTGAAATGACACTACCTGAACTAACTTTTCTGATTCTACCAGTGAATTCCCCCCCCCCCTTTTTTTGCAGGCAAGGTCACAAGTGGGGTGTTGCATTTGACATCTCTAT